CCAATTGTTCTCTGTCCTGAGTTTGGATGCGATCGTGACTGTAAATCCGAGGCCCACATCTCCTGTATTTGCAAGCGTGAACTGAAGATTCCTGTGATCGAACTGGCATTTGTCAAAGCACAGAGAGAGAAGACTGGCAGTATAGGGGCTCTCATGATTTCTAGCCAAGATATTCCGGAGTCCAAGAGACAGGAGGCTGCCACAGAGAGACAGAAGAGGAGAAGAGTTGCCGAGGAAAAGAGACTTGAGAAGGCCCAGGGTGAGGTAAAAAAGGCCGATGATTGGAGTCAAGCTGATTCAGAGTTTAATGACTTCCCCATGGCTGATCCGAGTGCTGACCAGGAGAATGGTGACTTTGTCCCTAACCCAGAAAATAATGATCCCAAACCTTCCAGGCATAAGATTCGAAATAGGAAAGATATTCCGAGCATAGCTCTGGCCAGCATGCGACACCACACTGGTCTCAGAGAAACTGCAGAGATAGCAACAGCTGCCTGGATTGACGGTGGTTTGATAACACCTGATGATGTTCACCTGGTGATAGATCATAACAAAGTAAGGAGAGCTCAGGAGAAACTTGTCAGTAACCTAGAGGAGGAGTTTGATAAGGGGATAAGAGAAAATGGAATCAATTGTTTGTTCTTTGATGGGAGAAGGGATGACACTAAAGTGTTCATGAAAGTTGGAGATTCTGACAAGTTGTTCCCTGCCATGGTGAAGGAGGAACACTACTCCTGCTGCAGTGAACCAGGAGGGAAGTATTTGTGGCATTTCACTCCAGAGAAAGATGACATCAGGAAACCAGCTGAGATAGTGGCAGATAACATTGTGAACTGGCTCAGAGAGAGGAACGTAGACCAGACCCTGCAGGCCATTGGAGGGGACAGCACCAACACGAACACAGGGTGGCAAGGGGGGGTCATACAGTGGATAGAGCGGAAGATTGGGAGGAAGCTGGTCTGGATTGTTTGTGACCTCCACACCAACGAGTTGCCACTCAGACATCTGATCCAGGAGCTGGATGGCAAGACTCTTTCAAACAACAGATGGTCTGGTCCTCTTGGCAAGATGCTGGACTCTGCCACTGAGTTAGAAATAAATCCGAGCTTTGAAAAATCACAGTTGGCCCTCCACTCGTTGAGCTTGCACATACTGTCATTGACGACCTGAGTACTGACCAGTACTATGGTTACATGATTTGCAGTGCCATCAAAACTGGGGTCATGCCTGATAGACTTGCTTACCTGCAGATAGGTCCAGTCTCACATTCTAGGTGGCTCACAACGGCTCTCAGGTTCTGCAGAATTTGGGTCGCTCATCATAAACTGAAAGGGAACCAGCTTCACAACCTGAGACTTATTGTCCAATTCATCGTGAGTGTCTACTTGCCAAATTGGTTCAACACCAAGGTCAAGTCATCGTTCTCCTAAGGTCCGAGGCATGTTCTCTTCCAGCTTGAGCTCCTGAGGAGTCAGCCAAGGAAAGTTGCTCAGATTGTGGAGCAGACTGTGAGGAGATCTTCCTGGTATGCTCATCCCGAGGCAGTTCTGCAGACAACGCTCTGCAGTAAGGATGAGGAGGAGAGAAGAGTGGCAGTCAAAAAGATCTTGGATATGAGACTTATGAGAGGATCTGGGCATGACGAATCAGTTGGTGACGATTCCTTCAGGGTCAGGAAGACTCCTGAAGTCAATCTAGGTGCCAAGACCCTCACTGATCTCATAGATCTGGATAGCATCCAGGCTGGCAATGAGCCCCCTCTTACCTGCAGCCTCACCAATGTTCAAGTCAGAGCTTTCCTGGACAACCCCATGCATGTCCCTGCCTGGCCCTCGCACACCCAGAGTATAGAGCGTTGTGTACAGCAAGTGAGCGAGGCCAGCAGGCACGTGTACAGCCAGGAGAGGAGGGAAGGCTACATCCGAGCCCAGGTGGTCAGCAGGGAGGTGATGAGTAGAAACAGAAGCAAGAAAGACATGTTCTCTATGGTGTGCAGCAACACCGGGTCGTAGTAGTAAAACCGGTTTTTGTATTTGATGATTTTGTTTTCTAAAGGAATATTAAATTTAATAAATGTGTCAAGATCATTCGTTTCACTATTCTGGATAATTTTCAGCCTAATAAATTAACCTGATACATTTACTTTACTTTAAATAAACTATTTAGTGGTGTTGGTAAAAGAGTGGGAATACTGAATTTTCATAAGATTTCAAGTTAAAATTTACCTAGCAAATAATGAAAACTTTTCAAATCTGAAGATATCACATGATTCTGCACATAGAACTACATCATTAATACCATGGGCCGATTTTTCAAACTCAAAAAAAAAAAATTCGCCTCCGTATGACACACCCTACTACATATAACACCACCCATCATCAGTATATATAACAACATCCATCATCGCTACATATAACATCACCCATCATCACTACATATAACATCATCCATCATCACTACATATAACACCATGCACCATCACTACATATAACACCATCCATCATCACTACAGATCGGTAAAGTAGTTTCCGAGATTCTCGTGCGAACACACAAACAAACAAACACACAGACATACTTCTTTGTTATATATATATATATATATATATATATATATATATATATATATATATATATATATATATATATATATATATATATAAATCACTGTAGTTACGCGTGATCTTACGATGTGACAGAAGAGCTGACAAAATTTCCTCGTGTCCGCCGGTGGCAGCCATCATAGCTGGGGTGAGGCCCTCTTGATCACACAGGTTGGGGTCAACACTGGGGTGGTGAAGGAGGATGTAGGCACAGTCAGCGTGGCCAGAGCGCGCAGCAAATAGGAGTGCCGTTCGACCCTGACCGCCCTGGATGTTGATGTCCGCGTCATGACATTTACAGAGCATATTATCTATGGCTGAGTGGCCATGTTCAGCCGCACGCATCAGAGGCGTCACCTTGTCCTTTGTACAAACTTTATGTCTGTAGCGTCATGCTGGAGGAGAATGCTGGCCACCTCCACGTACCCTGCGTCTGCCGCCATCATCAAACACGTAAACCACCACGACAATAGCCCCACATAACCGTGCCCTCCCCCCTCCCCTTTTGCCTTGCCTCGCTCCCTCTCTGGTCACCACCCACAGGATGATGTTATAGCGCCTATTTCAGCATTGCTGGGTGGCAATGTGTAGTCCATTCCACGCCTCACGCACTCCTGACATCACTTACCACTAATTACCACACATGGTGAATTTGATATTCGAATATTGAAAAGGAGAGATCTTTTCACGAACGGAGAAAAGAAAATGTTTTACAAAATGATGTTTTTGCACAATTGATGACGTAACAATGTCAATAGACAATAAGAATGCATCCGGGTTAATGTTAGGAACCCAGAAGATACAGCTTTGAAGAAGCTCTTATTAGAAGTCCAGATGAACCGCCACAAAACCTTACTCGCTCTGAGACGTTGTGAACATTATTCATAGTGAACAGATGGAAGTAGGTATTGAAGGAAACACGACTAAGACACGGAGCGTTATTCCTAACGTTTCATTACTAGACTTTTTCAAAGGAATGAACACACAATACGGGTTACTGCTATTTATACAAGCACAAACCTTGGGACTGGTAAAAGGGAATGAATTTGAATATCACACAATACTTATAAATACTATGGATGCATTGCAATATTAGAGTTAAAAATCTGCATTAATTGCTTGTATAAGCTTATGACAAACACTTTATTTCTGCAGAAGTCAAATATTTGGCTGAGGTTCATATTAGAATACTGAATTCACCAGGTGTGGTAGTTAGTGGTAATACTGGGTGTGTTGTCATAGGTGGCTAGAGGGAAACTTGGGGTGTATAAGGTAACTTAGGCGACCCTACTAGATCAGTCATTTAATGAGAGCAAAATTTATACAACGACGGTAAAGGTTCAACATTGCCAGACACTGTGATGAGTAGATTGATATCAAGTGACCTTATCAGTCTCATGGTGGCCGGTCACAGTGTGCACCTGACAGCTATATTCATTAGGGCTGAACAGTATGATTTCGATGGTTAATCGTTTAAGTTGTAAAATTACCTACATATAAAATATACCACACAGTGACAATAAATGAGGATGTTCAGGTGAGAACATTTCCCGATATGCCACCGTTGTTACCACAAATAATAAGGGCTGTTTCACTTGCAAATTCCCTCTGAGTAGCTATTCTGTCATCTGCCTTTGTATTTTTCACGATTTACTTAGTAAGAGGAAGTCATCGGTAAACAAGTAATTATTTATATATTATCCATTCATTTTAATCATATATATCTTTAATACAATTGTATACCCATATTCTTAATTCTTATTAACCTCCTTCCATCTCCATTTATTTAACATATGGTGAAACAACAATGTATGGCAGCAGCATGCGCCACAAAATTCAGTGACACCCGCACCTCCACTTCCCAACCACTAACACTCCTCCGTCCATACTTTCACTCTCCAGCCACCACACACACACACACACACATTGTTACCAGACAAATGAATCTCTGCCTGTTGTTTCAAAGTCCTCAGTTTTACATTCAAGGGGTTCACATTTGTGGGTGGGTGTCGAACGTGGAAATGTCCGGGACTGTACCTGCATGTTGACAAGGGTGGCCTTACGTACCTGCAAGTTGACATGGGTGGCCTGACGTACCTGGAGGTTGACATGTATAAGCTACCATACCTGAAGTTGACATGGGTGGCCTAACGTACCTGCAAGTTGGCGTGGGTGGCTTAATGTACTTGAAATCTGACGAGGATGGACTAGCGTACCTGCAAGTTGACGGTAGTGGCTTGAAGTACCTTTAGGTTGACGTGGGAAGCCGGTCGTGCCTGAAGGTTGACGGGGTAGAGTAACGCATCTTTAGGTTGGCGTGGGTGACCTGACATACCAGTAGCTTGACGTGGAAGGCGTGTCGTATTATACCTGTAGTTTGACATGGGTAGGCTGACATACCTGAAGGTTTACGTGGGTGGCCGGGTGCTGCAGTATGGACGCCACCACAGCCTCGTGCCCCCGCCAAGCAGCGTACATGAGGGCGCTCTCTCCATGACTGTTTTGCCAATTGACTTCCGCCCCGGCAGTCAGTAATGTGGCCACGGCAGGTACATCTCCCGTGTCTGCCGCACTCACTAACCTCTCTTCTGATGGCACAATACATAACTAAACTTTGATAACATGATTACACATACACCGCACCACGCACACAGTACTAGACCATTCGCTGCACCACACACAAAATACCACACAACACGGTAACACGACTACTTACTTTGCTCTCACTCGGAACCGAGTATGGCGATCATCCAGCTATGATACAATGATATGAGTAATTAGGGGTGTCAACTTCGTTGGTGAGCTCTGAGGTGACTCGAGAGGCCGATACGGGACCAGCAGGGTCGTCCACAGATGTGGCACGTGTGGAGGGCTATATCTAGTGCGGCAGCGCCTTTCCGACACCAGCGCTTGTCTGCCTTGGCAGGCAGTCGGAGTAATTCGAAAGTATTGACATCTTCTCATTTAGTGCTCCTCCAAGCGTTAAGGGGATCGATTAGGCACTTTTCAGGTTTGTCTTAAGACTATCCTTATACTTTTACCGTTGCCCGCCAGCGTTACGTTTACCATTCGTTAGGTGACTGTAAAGTAGTTACTTTGGCAGTCTACTGTCGTCTATTCAGGCAACATGACCAGTCCACTGTAGTTGTTCATGGATAATGGTAGCCTCGATGCTCCAACAGTTGGTGTCAGCGAGAATACTGGCATTCGTTCTCTTGTCTTCCCAGCGAACTCGGAGGATGAAACGTAGACTACGTTGGTGAAAGTTTTCAAGTGCTTTGAGGTACCTCCTGTATGTAACCTATGTCTCACTGCCCTATAACAGGATGGGGAGAACCACTGCTTGATATACGTGCAGCTCCCTACAGCTGAAGACATGGGTACAGAATCTGTCAAAGGCTAGAAATGCACATCTGATCCAATATTGAATCTCTTTATCGATGTCCACAGTGGTGGACAGGTGGGAGCAGAGATACTGAAAGTGGATGACATTAGAGAGGGTAGTACCGTTAAGCTGGATGGATGGTGGAGGTGTGGTTGAACCAGGGGCAGGCTGAAAGAGAATCTGAGTCTTACGTATATAACCGGTCGGAATTCTACTCATTGTTTTTTTTCTTTTTATAGTGGATGGTAATGCAGTGGAAGCGCCCTTCAGAAAACCGAACCAGAACAAGCAAAATTAATTTTGAATTATTTACGTAGTTCGGACTGGTGTTCCTGAAAATGGGGATAAAGAGAGGCATTGAAAAATGATAACACTTGTATTATTTCAAACACCACCCCTTACAACACTACAGATGGAATCAATAACTGTGCAAAAAGCACTAGATTAACTTCTTAGCGTAGCTTACAGCACTGTAATGGGAAACAAAAGTTATTAATTGCATCCTAGGAGAACTAAGGCCACAGAAGTACTTTACACAAAATAAATACAAGACAAATTTATAGTAATTCCTGAGGAATAAAAATCCTGATTTAGTCATACTACACTAGAACATTGGATCAATCATAGCCAGCCTGGAATGACCCACAAAATACAATTAATCCAAACTACCTTAAATACACGGAACCCGAAGGTTGTAACTACTAGCCTGCCCAGTGCATTTCTCCAACAATACCCTTAACATGTTCATAATACTCCGTACTTCCCAGCACTACAGCCCAAACAATTCCTTAAGAGGAACTCCTACGTCCCACATGCGCAATCAACCATAGGGTCGTTGACCTCATACCAGGACTTGGCTAATTGGACCACATACACCCAATACTGAAGAGGTGAATGTCTCTATGTAACCACAAGAATTCCAGGTCCCAGAGAGTTACCCCTCATTCATCAATTCTGCACCCTGGGCCCGATAACTGGGGAAGGAGCGACCGTCACTCAAGCCTGGTAAGGCCAGCTCACAATACAACCAGGTGGCCCCGCCACGACTGAGGGTCCTCCAGAGGGCTTTCCTGTTGACCAAGTCGAAAGCCTTGGTAAGGTCACAACGCTCTTCTCTGCACTTTTCCTGTATCTGCCTGGTAGCAAAGATCACGTCAGTGGTGCCCCGTGATGGATTAAAGCCACAATGAGATAAAGGGTTGAAGTTTTCCGCCTCAGGAAGAAGTCTGCTCAGAAGGACTCGAGCGATAATCTTGCCAGCTACAGACAGCAGCGAGATCCTGCGGTATTGCCACAGTCTGACCAGTCTCCTTGTTCTTATAAATATTGATGATGGAGACGTCTTTAAGAGATTGGGGATTTCTCCTTTTCCATATATTCTCCAGGAGAGAGTGGAGACTGCTGGTAAGCAGAAGTCCTTCTGTTTTATAAACCTCAGCTGGGATTCCATCAGGCCCTGCAGCTTTGTTATTTTTCATCTGGTTGATGGAGGATAGCTGAGGTGGTTAGCTCAGGCAGAGGACCTGCTGGGTAGTCAGAACATCCACATCGGTGTTTCGGTTGAGCAGCTAAAGTATGCCCTTCTTCGTCTATAATTAGAGTTACTGTCGGATAAGCGGAGGACGCTGTGTCATGAGTGTTGGCCCAAAAATGTTTTTGAGGAATTGAAAAATTTATGCATCTTGTATTCATCTGCAAGTTTTGGCATTTTGCATACTTTATTTTAAAACATTCGTTCATTAGATTGCTAAGTTCCTCTGAGCCGCAGCTTTTTTCTTGCGAAGGTATCAGCTTTGATCCAAGGCTGGGGTTGTTCTGCCACTCAGTTAAAGCAGACGTTTATCATCAACGAATACTTCAATTTCTGGGTCATTTTCATCAAATCAGTCCTGATGTATTCCGTCGATCTGACCGAAGGTATCTCTGCAGTTTTGTGCGACAGTTCACAACTCTCACCCGAAAAAGTTACCCCTCACAGTTTTCTGGACATCCGGCTTCTTCAACCTGAGCTGTGACCCTGGGGTGAGCGTCCACCAGCTCCAGGTAAGAACACTCGACTGATTAGTGCCCTTGAGATGTTTATACATCTCAATTAAGCCCCTTTGTCTGTCTGTAGTATAAGCTAGCAATTGCAGGCGCCTAATCTTCAGGTAGCTGAGGTGTCAAAGCCACCAGCCTGGTGACCTCCTTTGGACATTTTCTATCAACTGACTGTCCCTAACATATCTTGGGGACCACACACACACACATACACACCTACTATAGGTTCTTTTCACATTCAGTCTCAATTAATGCAGTTTCTACGTTCCGTTGATACGCCTCCTTACCATTGGTACGTCCCAGGTGCAACCTCTTACCCTTCGTGACATTGAATCAGCAACCATTTCTTCGACCATTTTTGAAGCTCACAGAAATCCTTCTGCAGCTCTTCACAGTCTGCTTGGTTCTTAATCTACCGGAATTACTTGACATCATTCGCAAACATTTGTATGGAGAAATTACAGTGTCTTGCATGTCATTTAGAAGCCAACAAACAACAGCGGTCCAATACACTGTCCTGTGGCACTCCGCTTCTGACGGGTACACATGATGATTTCGTGCCATTAGTAACCACACTGCTTACAGTTATGGAGAAAGTCTACGATCCACGCTAGGACACTTCTCCGAATCCCGTGCCCTTCCAGCAATTTTCAGCCTTTCATGGGATACGCTATTGAAAGCCTTGGCAAAATCTAGGTATATAATGTCGATATTACCACCCAGTTCCAGAATTTATGTCCAAACATCCAGTACCTTGAGTAATTGTGTAAGCAAGAGCGTCCGGCATAAAACCGTGTTGGCAATCTTACAAGGTTGTTTCGTAATAGATGCTCCATCATGGCATTTCTTATAATGCTCTCAAGGTGCTGGTGGTAGAGTGGTACCGCTCTTGCCTTCGCAAGCGAGATGTCACGGGTTCGATTCCCGGGCCGGTGGAAGTTATTTGGACATACCTCCTGCCCCCATTAGTCCCTGTTCACCTAGCAGTAAAGTAGGTACCTGGTGTAAATCGAAAGTAGCGAATTGTATTCAGGGACAAGTTGTTAGAGCTTCCAATAACTTGATGACATAAACCATTGACTCTTCAGGCTTCTCTGCCCTTGACTCTTCAGGCTTCTACGCCCTTAACTCATGAGACATAAAGGCAAGCATGAACTTAGCATGCTTCCCTGTTGGGCACTGTAAACGCTTCTGCGCTTCACCTTGCACAAGGCTGTAGGTGCCCAATATATAATAAAAAAAAATAATGCTCTCAAGTACTTTACATGCTATTGTACAGTATACTGGTCAGGCTCACTGGTCTATAGTTATTCGTGGAGTGACGACCGCCCTTCTTGGAGATAAGACTCACATAAGCCATTTTCCAATCACTGGTGACCTATCGCTCGTCCAGGCATTTACAGAACAGGATCTTCAGGGGCTCGGCAAGCTCGTTGCACAACTCTCTCAGCACTCTGGGATGTACCATGTCAGGCCGGGACATTTTTATGAACCTTTAGCTTTGACAATTTATTTCTTATAACTTATAACCTCTTCTGGGAACACAATGTGGGTCAGCGCTGTGTCTAACCGTCTGTCCTCAAATGCAGGAAGATTGTTTGCATCCTCTTGTGAACACTGGAGAAAAGAAACTTTACAATGCCTCCGCTTTGTCCTGGTCAGAATCTGCTAACTACCATCTTCAAGCCTTAGGTCCGATACTCTACTCGTTTTTTTTCGACTTTGCATTGCGGCAAAACGCCTTTGGGTTTGACTTGACCTCGCTTGCAACCAGCCTCTGAAACTCGTTTTCAGCCCTTCTACACTATGACTTTGCTTGGTTCCTGGATCTTGCTTATTTCCTGCTCATCGCTTGACCAAACCCGCGCCTTGAATTTTGGGTTTTTTAACTCTGTCGACCACCGCATGTGTAGGGCTCTTTGTATTCCTAGAGGCACTGGGTTTGGTTTTGGATATATATTTATCGATCAAATGGTTCAATTTACTAACTATGATAGTCAGCATAGTGAGTCAGGCCAATGGATACCCTCATCTCTTTCCTCATCCGTCGTAATTTCCATTGTAATATTTGCACCTTAGTCTGGTTTTCTCGTGAACCAAGTACCAGTTAAATCTGAAGGACAACAATATATGGTGGCTGATGCCAACGGCTAGATATTCCAT